AGGGATGTCACGTCATTGTAGCGTTCGGATGGAGAGTATTTTTCGCGACGAATTATCTGATTTTGAGGACGGATTCGGTCGTAGATCACTTAAATTGAAAAGTTGACCCAGTTCTTTGTCAGTTTGCTGCGGCGGGAAGCGCACAGTGGTCGCGGCTGCTTTTTCAAAGCAAATCTACGATTCTCGAAAGAGAAAATCGGACTGTTTTTGAAATTATATTGGAAGGGGTCAGAACTACAAGTACATCATTGCATTGCAAAGGCTCACTAAAAGATGTATTCATTCATCCAAGAATCCTTGAATGCTTTTCATTCAGGACCGTTGACGAATAGACTCTGTAATTTAACTAAAATGGTCTGTGGTTTAAAATATACATATACCATTCATAATTGGACTTGATTTTGCAATTACGAACTACATTTCCTAGCTCAGTTAAAAAACAGCGTATGTACCATTAGTTTGCCTAAAGACGTATGTGTTTTTACGAATGTGCCGGGAATTGTAGCTCCTAATTGCAAAATACAGCTAAAACGAATAATAATAGGTTGTCAGGTGAAACTTAGCCACGTTACAATTGGAATAAGCATCCGTCACCTTGACCTCGTTTTTTTATTTATTCGTTGAACCGATGATGCCTGCTTTTTTTGTAATGTTTCACTCTAATTGCGTACAGGTTTTGTTAAAGAAATTCAGAATGAGGCATTAATTTTAATCATGAAACCTAGAGAAATGCAAACATCAAGTCCTTTACGTTTTTAAACTTAATTTCATCAGAGTCAGCGAACTTTCAGTTCCTGTTACGAATCATCTTTGGTCAAGTTTTTGGTAAGAGTCACTTTCAGTCAATTCGAAATTAATCATAGCCCTACTAGAAAAGATCGTGTTGATAACATTTTGAGGTCATGTTAAGATTGATACCATGTTGGCGTCAACATCGCACCTTGTGTTTTATTCACCAACATGATCGTTTTTAGCAGGAAAAAGTTATTCAAAGTAATGGGCCTGTTGCAAACTTTAGCTAGAGCAAAACTAAGAGTTGTTTCCTACAGATAATGCCTCAAAAATCACGATGAGCACATCGGCAAAGTCTGAAATGCACTCATAACTTCACAATCTGCGTAAGAAATTTGCGATTTTTTGAGCTTCCCGCTTCGAAAACGATACTACGGTACAGGTGAACATTTTGTTAGAGGAGTCGTTCCATTGGCGGCAATACTCATCATGGCCGACGCCAGTCCGCCAAAACACGTGTGATGGAACGAGATAACACCTAAACAGGATTAAACCAGATAACAATCGGCGTGTTTACGTTCATATTTTCCTCGCCCGCCTTAATTGACCTTGAGTTCTCCTCGAATTACGCGAGGAACTGCGCAAGCGTCGGCCATGATGAATATTGCCGACGATGGAGCGACTCCTCTAACAAAATGTTCACCTGTGCAGTAGTATCGTTTTTGAAGCGGGAAGCTCAAAATAACGCAAATTTCTTACGCAGATTGTGAATTTATGAGTGCATTTCAGACTTTGCCGATGCGCTCATCGTGATTTTTGAGGCATTATCTATGGGAAACAACTCTTCATTCTGCTCTAGCAAAAGTTTGCAACAGGCCCATTAAGGTAAATAGCAGTACTATCTATTTCTACGGAAAAATACCGTATGGGTTTTAAGACGTTGCCAAATTTCCTTTGATAAAATATAAATTTTCACAGAAATCTTAGATTATTTTTCTTCGCATTTTGGAGAGAATGTTATGCGCTATCAGATCTAAATTATCTGAAAATTGCGAGAGAAAATATTCATAACTCTCCTAAAAAATGTATGTTCTATCGGAGGAAATTTGACATTTCTCTCTACACGGAGTTTTTCCTTACTACGGCAGAGTAATAAATAGGATAGGCCCTCAATGCGATCACGCGGCGAAACTGCAACATTAAACACGTCACAAACTATACATTATACATTGTGACTAACACAAATTTCAAGGATGTAAGTGTTAGTGCATGGGTACGTAATTTACAGTGAGAAACATAACTAGTGAAAGTGAGTTGCGCTAAAATTACACGTGATGTGGTGTTCAAGTATAGTCACACAAATACTTTTCAGAAACTAAGTAGAAACTAAAAGGCACAGGATACAAATGTGATAATTCTCATCGTGAAAGGGCATGTAAATTGTGAAGGTTCAAACCAGTAACAGATGGATCAGATATTTACAGATCTAAATTATTCTCCATTCGTGTAATTGAAAAAAATGCAATTTTTAAACATTAAGGTCCTCTAGAATTTAATGAAATTTTCTACAGATAACGCAAATTGCTACTATATTGCAATACACATACAATCAAGTTGTTATACTAACATAAAAATGAATGCATATAATTGAAAGATTGAGCCTCTTGGACTGAATTTAGACATTCTTGAGAAAATCATTGAAAGAAGTTCATTACTGCTAATAAAAACCATATCTTTGGCCCTCAAATTCGAAGTGCTAAAAAAGTTCCTCAGTACAAAACTTTACTGTTTACCATTAATTCAAGACGTTCGTTCTACTATGAAATTGTGTCGTATGAGAAAAGTAATTACTGGTGTCTAAAATGGGACCTCAACCGGTGCTAGCAAAAAAATAACTAAACATTTTGCTTATTCTGCAATTTAATTATGCCAACGAGGATGCGTTTATCCTTTGAATATTTGATCAAAAATATGTATAAAAAATAGTGAGTACCAGATTTCGCGACAGGTAATTTTTGGCTCAAAATAAAACTGCTGAAAACGCATAAAAACTTAGCTAGATTCACTGGAAAAAGTGATTGACTTAGAAAACTTGATGTTTCTTATCATCATACAATACAATATAAAGACTAAACCGAAGTCCTAAATAGTGATGATGTAAGTAATAAAATGTGCAGTACAGAAACTTTTTCAGCACTTAAAATAGTTGATATATTACGGTGACCATTAACTTTATAGGCACTAGTACTTTGCTTGATTCTCTTTTCCTCAAGTAATAATAATCACCGATTTTTCGGTTTACTGTTTTGGTGCTCCTTATAATACAAACTTTAATTCGGGTAAAACCTGTTACTGATTTGAGCGTGAAACAAGATTGCATAGCAAATAACAGGTAAATTATGAGAGCAGACCGCATCACCGAATCGCAACCAAACGAGGTCCATCTCGAGAAGAAAAAACGTATGGTTCAAAGAACATATGAAATTTTGAAACGTTGCGATTTCGTGCGCAGTTGATGATGAAGTGATAGAGAATACGGAGAAGATGATTGCCGTTTTGCTAGCGTGAAAATTTTCCGCGGTGTAACGAGGTAAACATCAGATGAGAATGAGATGGTGACAAAATGCCAGTGCTAATTCATGCAATTCACAACCAAAGTTTGCAACAATATAACGTGAAACCTGCAGCTTCACCTGATGACTTTCTTCACCCGATAATGGCAACCATCTTCTCTTTAATCTTTACTCGGTGAATGAATAGTTTGCTTGCGGCCACTGAGTACGTGTCCTTTCCGTAACGATGTATCTTCCGCAAAAATATGTCAATCAAGACCCTTCATATATAGAGGAAGTCATTTTCCAGTGAGTGAATTTCTATGACTAATTTTGCTCTCTGCTGGAAGAAATTAGGTAACACAAATTCTTTAGTGTTAGTTGATAAAATTTGATTTTTTTCGGACTTCGTTGAAGTTGTCATTCAAATATGATGCTACATTCAGAAATTCCTTAAACCTCCCTTAGTTGGCACGTAAATCATAAGGGAACTACTTAGGAAAAGAACCGGTGAATGAACAACTGTGAATACGGCATTTAGAGTTGGAGATTCTAATGTGCCACCGTGGGGTGTAGGTGTGGTATTGATCAGGGAACATGTATTGCAATTATTGACATTTATGGAGCTTCTTGACCTAAGGGTTCATTCTGTGATGACAAGTGTGGCATTTTATGATCCCCAAGAATTGATCACTACACAAAGCAAAAAGAGGAGGTATCGATAAGTGCCGTTTATGGGCCCGTCCTAACTCAATATCCTCAACTCTACCATGTTTCGCTCATTGAAGGTCTATATATTACAAAATGCATAATGATTTTCTCGTTTTCGGTCTAGTACTAAACATAGGTTCAAAGGCTAAATTGACAAAATTTGGGATATTTTGGAATTTGACCGTAAACTTTCAAAATCCGCATTTTCGCCAAAGTTGGCCTTCAAACAAATGTTTAGGCCAGCACTAGGTCCAAAATAGATTCCAGAAATGATTAAATCATGATGCGTCCCGTTAAATATGGACGTATTTCTGTCAAACGGAAATCTGTGCATTATGACGTGAGTCTAGTTATACATTTATTCGTATGGGTCCCAGGGCTCATGTCTTAATGCACATAGTTCCGTTTGGCAGAAATACGTCCATATAAACCCTCAATGCGCGAAAAAACGTAGAGTTGAAAAAATTGAGAGTCGGCGAAAAACGGACGCTTATCGATACTCCCCTGCATATTGTTTAAACACACTGACACAGTGTGAAATTCAATCGACTCCTATGAATGGTAACAGTAGAAAAACAAGGGAAAACGAGTAACAAGGCTAAAATACACAATTTAAAAAAAACCGAGACGTTTCGACTCAAAACTGAGTCATTTTCAGTCGGAAATGTTACATAAAAAATTTAAAAATACGATGAAATTTTATTTTATATTTAATTTATTTTAAACTTTTACTGTAACATTTCCGACTGGAAATGACTCAATTTATGAGTCGAAACGTCTCGGTTTTTTTTTTTTTTTTTTTTTTTTTTTTTTTTGTATATTTTAGCATTTTCCCCCTTGGTTTTTCTACTGTCATCATTGTCTCGGGCTGCTCTATAAAAATGTGTACCTCCAAAGAATGAATGTGAGCAAAGTCTCTAGCTCGGAATGGGAGTGACTCGGTGGCCGGAAGCAAAGCAAGTCGTTCACCGGGTGGAACTGGTGTGTGAAAAGGTGGATACGTACTTGGTGTGTGGGGGTGCGGCTGCGTGCGGGCGGGGTAGTGGGCGCCGTGGTTGCCGCCGGGGGTTCCACTCCGCTGGGTGAGGCCGTAGTAGTCGCGGGGGTCCTCGAAGAGGGAGGTCGGGTAGACGAGGGTGTCGGTGACGTTGAGTCGGAAGCGGGGGCCCGGGCGCGCCGCCACGAGCCACGGGTTCGCCCGGAACCAGTGCCAGCCCCAGCCTCGCGCCGGCTCCTTCACTGAAAAGTCCCCGAGAGCCCCAACGGTTAGAAGCTCCCACCGAGGGCCCAGCAAGGACCACAGGTATCGCTCATAGCCTGGCAATACCACTTCTTGGGCATCCAACTCGCTTACGTCAAAGACACAAGTTCAATGTGTCACACACACAGAAAAAAGTATCAAAATCTCAACTATACTGCCAGCTGATTTTGGCGCCAACCATGAGAGTAGTTGCACCAGCTAGAAGTGTAAAGGCACCAGCCAGCGGTGTAGTTGGATTGCATTTTGCAAAAAGGAACCACTAGCATTGCAATGATGCTAAGATTGAGCAACTTCATCTTTTGCAATAAAATTGCGGAAATCGTAAAAAACTATGAAATTTAGATGGTAATTTTTGTCTTAAATTTACAGTTTTTAGCGAGGAAAATAGAAACTATTAATGGATAATCGGGTTTTTCCTCCAGAACAAAAGAAGTTGCACAATCTTAGCAACATTGCAACGCTAGTGGTTCCTTTTTGCAAAATGAAATCCAGTTAATCCAACCACACTTTTAGCCGACTTAACCATACCTCTGGTTACTGCAACTACTCTCAATATGTGGCGCAAAAATCAGCTAGGAGTATAATTGGGATCGTGATACTTTTTTTTTCCGTGCACGTGGGAAAGATTTCGTCCAAGACACGAAAGGGGTAGGTCAATTCTGCCGTGCTATGGAGAAAGACCGTATGAACCTTCAGATGTTGCCATATTTTTGTCAATAAAAACTGAATTTACTGGAGAAATTGGAGTGTTTCATTTCAAGCCTGACCGCTTTACGGCAACTTCTTTCTTGCTCCTCACCTGACAATAAAGGGTAATTGAGACGATAACTACAGCAGGAATGGGACACTAAACCGACTGTGCCACACAAAAACTCGTGCCTCTGACGCAAACTATTTTTGGATTATACATAGATTCTTCGATGTTTTATCACGAGACACAAAGGCAACAAGTGATAAGCAATTGTAAGTGATTCTTTTAATTGTTGCGTATGTAAATAACGCTTTTCACGACCAAGCAACATTCGGTTCTGAAGAAAAGTTAATCGTCCTCTCTCATTCGTGCTTGACCCTTTTGAGTTGTTATACCACTCATATTCCAAAAATCAAAATTAACCGTTTTCTAGCAAATTTTAAGGCGGGCATATTAGTCCAGGCTTTGAGCGTCCTACTGTTTTCCTGCACCCTGAGTGATTTGGCGCCCCTAACCCTTGTTACTCTCCGAGAAAGGGCAACCTACAATTCATCTATCCTGCCGAGGATTGGTCTACGTTCCTCAGTCAGCTATATTTTCATTGGTTTTTCTCGGATACACGCGTAAAATGGCGGTAAGTATCTCCACCATTCAGATTATGCACCTTAGGTATAGCTCAAAAGTATCAAATAGACGTATTACTGCTAAACGGAACTATGTGCATTCAGACATGAGCCCTGGAACCCATTAGAATGTATGCATAACAGGGCTCACGGCATAATGCACATAGTTCCGTTTGGCAGAAATACGTCCAAATCAGTACTGGTGTCATTGTCAGTAGCAACTTCTTATCATTCTATTCACATCCTAGCAGGAAACACACAAATGCGTAGATAGTTCAAGAGCAAAGAAAATGTTTATCATTTCCTTCACGCGCCAATCATGATTTTGAAAGGAAAAAAAATGTTCAAAATAGCTTCCTCCAAAAGAACTGATGAGGCGCGGACAAAAATTCCACCTCATTAGAGAAATGTGGTCATGTATTGGCGTTTTGGGAACATATCATGAGAGCCATTTGGTTTAGGAAACCAAATTTTTGAACGGGTTTCAAGGAACGCTTGACCAATCCTGGCTTTGGAGCGATGAAAAGCGAGTTACTGGGACATGCAAGGAGTTCGAGTAATGTGCAGAGGGAAACAGTGTGCGAGATTGTGCGAGTGATAAGATAGGTGCAGATAAATTTTCTGAAACACAGTAAAATTTAAGACAAAACGATCAGTGCTCGTCATGCAAGTAAGTGCGCAGAATTTGAATATACACAAATAAGAAATAGTTATTTGTGAATAAAATATCCAGCCATTCCATCAAATTGTATAAAAGCTCGTTTTAACCAAAATTACAGACATGTCATAATATTAGTCGAATGCATCGTGCAACTGCTAAGAGACAGAGTGATAATGAGCCACAAAACAAGATCGAAGCTGGAAAGAAATCAGTGTCGTGGTGTGCTTTACAATTAATTGATTGATCTGCCATTTAGACCTGTGGAAAAGGGTCGATTAACAGGGTGTTCGCAAAGAACACCTTAAAAATCGATTCTTTACCATGGCTTCAAATGAGGAAATGTCGATAGTCGATCATTCATTCCTCACCACTGAAAGAAATGTCCTGTGTTTTCTCCCCGTACTCTTACGTAGAGAATGATACACATAACAGGATGTTCGGAAATTAACTCATGAACAATGAATTAACACGTTTTTAACACAGATTAAATGGAACTTAGATTATCCAAATAATTTCATTTGTACTCTTGCCACTGAGTCTGTGTTAAACATAAACAAGCATTAATTGTCGAAAAGTTGATTTTCGAACTTCTAATTGTGTGATTTGTTTCCACAGATAAGTTTTGAGGAGAGAATATGTCACGTAGTGCTTAAATTTACACATGATCTAGAAGCCCATTATTGATTATTTATTCGAGGAACCTATACTTTTGGTCTTTGAAAATCGGACGGTTTCAACAAAATTTACCCAATTACATTTTTCGTTAAAATCACGATGAAAATTAATTTGGAGCCTAATTAAGGTGTAGTGGACTTCGATCACGCATGTAGACTGGAAAAAACGAAACTTTCGAATATAGTACACGCAGATTCCAATCTTTTGAGTTGCACTTGTACTTTTGAGTAAGAATAATTTTTACTCGTGTTTTGGAGGAAATATTTGTAAGTATATTATTCCTCCTTTTGATGAACCATGAAAAAGACATTTGAAGTAATCGAAAAAACAACCCAGGTTTTTTGGTTGACAACACACTGACTTTAAAATGTTTTTCCGCGGATGGATCAGCCTCCGAACCTTAGCACGGAGAAAACAAACACCTTTGCTCTTACTTTGTTCATTGTAAAAATCTTAAATTATTATGAAATTATTTAATTAAAATGTTACAGTACTTATTTTTCTTGTCGTAGTTGCAGTGTTAATTTTTGGGAGGAAAATAGTTTGGTCCGAAAGAATCTCTAACCGAAAAAACCATTGTAACGAAGATTAGGAATGTAGGTAATGCCTAGATTTTACAATGATCATTGTAAAAGCAAAGGTTCTTTTTTTTTGGGTCGAGCATCGGTCAGATTTAAGCTTTGATGTCACTTAAAAATGCACTTCTCTCTTGGAGCTTAACTTGGCGACGAGGAATCCCAGCGGTAGTTTGCACTAAACAGATCCCAGTAGAGGCTGCGAAATTTCCTCCAAAATTTAGTTCGAAAATTCGCGGGAACCTGTAATGTTGCAACCACTAAGTTCACGGCTATGAAAGTCAACCCATATCCTAGATATGTTTGGTCCAAACGTCTTCCCTTGCGAGGATATTGTCCCCGTGGAAATTTGCCAGAAAAGTAGGACTCCCTGAATAAAATATAGCGCCTGGCTTTCATTTTCACTGCAGAAACTTGAAATTATACATTTGCGACGAGACAGGCAGCCTCCATTCTCTTTTGTCTGGGAAACAATGCTTCATAAATTCTACGGTTATAGAGAAAAAAATTGTAAAAATAAGTTATCTGCCGAAGAATGTTAATGATTAGCATTTAAAATAGATCAGAATGGATGATTCTTTGAGACGAGGTAAAGGCGTGGTTAGTCCCTTATACCAATATTTGGATGCAGCTAAATCTCAAAATTTAGAAAAGTAACACGGCAGTCTACAGTTTATAAGGCTTTTTGTCGGAAAATATTCTTTATTGACATAGACTCTGATATTACTTATACTTATTTTTACTACCGCTACTTTGTTTCGTACGTTGCGAATGTTGTATGGATAGTTCGCAAGTGCACTATTTGCTCTATTCATTATGCTGCTTCTTTAGTCCATGTCACAACCAGCAATAATTGTGTTTGCCCACGAAAAAAAAGCTGCACCCTTGGCACTTGGTGGATAATTTTCCAGGGAATAGATTTTTTGTCAAGTTGTTGGATTAAAATCGGAATTTGAAGTCGTAAGAGACACGGGTAGCAACACCCATGTACCTCAACCAAAGAAAATTCATTACTGTCAAACATTCCAGATGAATTCATCCTTTCATTCAAGAAATGATTGTTTATCAACGAGCTATTTTTAGCTGGTTCATGGAAGGCTAAAAATATTTGCAATATCCCAGATGAAAGAACTTAACTCTATTCCAACGTTGCAAAATTGACTCACTTTTAATTTTTTTAAAATTCTTTTAATTGACTTCATGAACTTTTGTCCACAAGTTTTCCGATATCAGCGTATTATCGGGGAAAGAGACAGTGAGATTCTCCGCTTGAAACGCTCAGCTGTTTAATATATGTAGTATAACAGTGATTTGTGCGTGAAAATGTTGCAACGTTGAAATTCAGGAACGCTCTTTCGTCCGGAAAACGACGAATTGAGATACGATCATTTACTCCGCAGAGCAGTTGAAGAAGTAACTTTTTACGTAAAAAGTTGTGCACGGAAGTGCGGAGATAGTTTCTGGAAGTTTAAAGTTTTGGACGGTGACGAATCGAACCGTGTTCCAAGCTTTCAACTTTGAGGAGAATCAATCAATGGCAAAGTTACGTCATTTTCGAGACGAGAAAACTGAATCTGAAGGATTGACCACATGAAAGGCGCAATCACTTTTTCGCATTTTCCGCTCTTTTTAACGATATTCTCCGCTTGTCGACCATATCATGGAGAGAAGCATAGAGGGCATTAGAAGACTTTCCGCTTAATGTTTGTCTTAATTTATTGATGTTAATTTTTATTACAGATTTTCACTAAAG